GAGACCCTTCTGGCTCAAGGCCCCGGAGCGCAGGGGCTGTGCTGGTCCAGAGTCCAGGAGGAACGAGGTCCGAAAAGGCTGCGGCCCCGGGGACGCTGCGGTGGCGCCAGCCCGGGGGCGCGTGCGCGTGTGCTGGCTGCTCCCCGACAGCTCCCAGGGCCAGTGACTTCCCAGGCTGCCTGCTCACCAGGCGACAGCCTCCCTCACACCCTCCCTCCCTCCCTCCCTCTTTCTGCAGTTACTCGAGACTGGATCAGAGCAGCACCGGCAGGCGGGGGTGGGGGGGGGGTGGGGGGGGTTAGGACCGCTGTCCGGGGCGGCCCGGGGAGGCTGCACTCGGCCGAGCAGGCGGGCGGGTGTGCAAGGTGGGTAGGTGGGTGCCCGGGCTCCGCTGCCTTTCCCCACAGGGCACCTGCCTGGATAGAGGGGAGGCAGACAGTGAAGGAGAGAGAGGCCAAGCCCCGGCCTCTGCCCTGCGGGCTGGCATAACACAGCCACGTGCTGCAGAGGAAGCCCCGTGGGGAGGCAGGGGCTAAGGGCCTTGTCGGTGACCAAGGGAGATCACTGAGTACCTGGCCTGAGGGCCTGGTGCCGGGACAGGCCTTTAGAGAGCCGTACAGGAGTCCACAAGATGCCCTGAGTTCGGCCCCAGAAGATATCCGTTGAATCTGCATCTGAAAATTGCCTCCCCTGTCCCAGGGCCAGGATATGACGTTCATCTGGGTCGCCTAGGTCCCACCACCAGAGAAACTCCATGAACTTTCTGGACAGCACCCTCTCACATACGCTGTCCACGCATCTATGTAACTGCACGTAAGCGGAATACCGCGCCTGCTGTTTTCCCAGGGACGCTTGCAGGAAACAGCGCTGGGAATCTTCCTTGCCTTCCCCGTGTCCCCAGAGCGCCGATGTGGACAGACCCATACGCCTCCCCGCACGGCCTCGTCCAGGTCACACGCGCTGACACAGCCACCTCCCAAGAGCGTGATTATGTGCTCTCGAAAGCAGAGCCTTGTTTGTCTGTCTCTGCATTTGGCTTTTCTCAAGTCCAGAGATTTTATCGGTTTTCCGAAGCTGGTGGTTATCAACCAGGTGGTTTTGGTCCCACCCAGGACATTGGGCAACGTCTGCAGACATGTTTGGTTGTCACAACTTGGGGGGACCCTTGACATTCGGCGGGTGGAGACCAGAGACGTTGCTCAACACCTCACGGCGCACAGGGCGCCCCCCCCCCACCGGCCCCCACCAGAGATCAATCTGGCCCAGAGACCAGGGCTGCCGAGGCAGAGAAGCCAGGCTTGGCTGCAGAGGGTTAATATTTAATTAATGAGCAAATATGAATACGGCCTGTCCTTACAGCATCCACGGCCGGTCATGAAGAGGCCGCTGTGCAGACTGCAGCCCGTCTTCGGGCCACCGTCGGCCCTGCTGCTGTTGACTCAGCCTTTTGTCACCGTGGATGTCCTGTCATAAACAGCCCCACCAAGGAACACAGAGGACAGATATCTGGATGGTGGCAGAGCCGGGGGGGGGGGGGGGGGGGTCGGGGACACCACCTGCCTACTGTGGCCATGAGTCAGACGCCCAGAGTGGACAGGGGCCCATCGTAACCTTGATGCCTATCTGGGGCCATGCATCACACAACCACAGAAAGCCTCCGGACGGCCTGGTGTACAGACACGCCACCCACCTCCCTGCACAGCCGTCCCCTCCCTGCCGCCCCTCCCTGTGCCCGGGAGCCGCCCGAGACATTCCCGCTCTTCTGCATCCAGCCTCCTGGGCATGTGGGGCCAGTCATCGTGCCTGTACATTACATGGAGCGTCTGGCTCTCTGGAACCTGCCGGAAGGAGCTGGAGGCCTCGGCTCGGCTCCAGCTGTCTGTAGGGAGAGAACAGTCCAGGCTCAGGCGGCAGCGGACCTTCTCCAAACTGAGAGAGCGGGCCCACGGAGAAGACGCTCTCTCAGGCCTCTCCCGCCGCTGGCTGGACAGAGCCCGGCCCCGCTGGGGCTGGTGCCCGAGGCCCGTGGGCCCATTCTGACTCTGTTTACCTGACAGGAGCCGGAGGGAGGAGCCACCGGCATTTCCCCCTGGCTCCGGACAGTGTTTACTCTGCCAGAGGCGAAGCCCAGGACGCGTTTGCCGGGTGTGCCCAGCACGGCTAGGACAGGCCGGGCTCTGGAGGGGCGGGTGTGTTGGAAAAGTCTCTTGGTGGGGGAGGCAGGGGCAAGGTGCGTGTCTCTGGCGGGCAGGGTGGGCCCAGGAGTGTGGTCTGCGGCACCTGGAAGCCCCCCCCCCCCCCCCCCCGGCTGTCTCGTGTATCCTAAGACTCAGGCTCTGGGGGCAGATACGAGCTGAGGTCCAGCAGGCTGTGTTCAGAACGGACCCCGGGGAGACAGGGCCGCGAACCCCCACACGGCTCCCCACTGGCCCCGCTCCCCGATATCAAGGTAGAGGAGGCCGGGTAGGGGTGAAGGTAACGGGGATCTCCCGGCCGCCTGGGCCCTCTTCCCTCCCCACTCTGCATGGAGGTGGGCCGTCCTGACCCCGACCTCCTCCTTGGGAGCGTGGTCGCAGCGCAGCCTCGCCGGGTGGCCGGTGTCCTGCATCACATAGCGGAGCGCGTGACGCCCTTGACGACGGAGCGCATGAAAGAGCACCTTGTTGACATCAGTGGCCAAATTGTAATCGATTCCTATTTTCAGTACCTTTCTTATCTGAGGCCTCAGTTTGCTGAGATGGAAGATGGCGCCCAAAAGAGTGGCCCAGGATGCGAAGAGGAAGAGAGGCATCAGGTGGCCGTCAGGTGGCCGGAGTGGGTGACTCAGAGACGGGAGGAGGGGCCTGGCTGCAGGGACTGCTCCGTCCCTTCACCTGCTGGGCCCGCATGAGAGTCATGTAATGTTTGGTGGCTCTCGGCAGCAGCCCGCACATGCGCCTGATTTTAGAGACCAGGTCAGCCATTCAGGGCAGTGCATCGGGAACGGGGGGTGGGGGTGGGGACACTGTTTTGCGGCTGTGGAAGCAAGAAGCTTGGCGAGGCGGCTGGAGTCTGGGTCACGCTGGCACCCTCTGCCCGCCCGCCAGCCCTTCAGAGGTACCTGCGCTGCCCATCTGCTCAAAACCCTCTAAAAGCTCCAAACTCACTGAGAATGAGAGGTGCGCCCCCCCCAGCCCCTCTGACAGCAAGCGGGTCCAGCTGCCCCATTTCCCTCACTTCCTCTTCCTTCACTGGCTTAGGGGTCTCTGCCCCCGCTGCCCATGGGACTTCTGTCTGTTCTGTGGGTTCCTGGATGCCCCGCTCTTCGGACAGTGTCCCCTACAGGTGCCCCAGGAAGCACTGCTGATGGAAGGGGTGCAGGGGCGCAGGGAGGAAGGCCAGGTCTCTTATTTCCACCCCGGGGCCACTGTCCTGCCCCTCCTTGCCCCGCCATCAAACCTCCTTCTGGAATCTTCACCACCCTCACCTGTCCCTGGTCGCTTGGGTGTATGTCTCCTAAACCACAGGACGCCCCTAAGGTACCTGTTTCATAAACTGACCAATCGATTTGGGACTGCGAAGCTCGGCGGCATCTTGGTCCACGTGTGATAAAGAAAGAAGGGGGGAAGGCGAAGGCCGTGGGCAGGCATCGTGTTACAGTTTTCTGATCCACAACTAAAGAGTTAGCATTCGACACCATCCCCACACCATCCCCAACGACACCATTCTGTTTTATGCGACAAAAGCTGGAAGAGTGACTTTGGGTTTGCCAGGGTGCTAAAAATAACCGCTCTGCCTATTGAACTTTGACCCCAGCGCGCGCGCGCGCACACACGAGAGAAGCCACTTCCTCCCAGCCTTCCAGGATTTTCCCGCTTCCTAGTGAAAGTCAGAATCACACAGTTTCATGAGCGATCGCTCCTTAACTGTGTCCTTCGCCTGCACTTGCAGCCCTCGCTAGATAACACACGCCCTGCGGGCAGGAGGGAGGTCCTGTGTATAATGACACGACCAACAACGGCCCGGGCTCGGGGCAGACCTCAGCGACAGGTACACAGGGACCCCGGTGCCACACGTCGCGCGCCAGCTGCACCTCCAGGATCCCGGCCTTTCCTGGAACACAGAACTGTTTTGGGAAAAGTCCTTCAGTCCCACACTGTGGGCCAAGGGAGGAAACTGTGAGCAGAGCCCAGCAAATGCTTTCCATCCAATCCTATTGCGTCCTGCGCTCCAAGGCCCACCCCCTCCCTGGCTCTTGTTGGCTGGTCAAAAATATGGCCAGTTTATATAAAATCCTGTTTTGTTCATAGTAACCACTCCCCCTCCCCCTCCATCTGGACTGGCCAAGCGCACTTAAAATCCTAAGACCTCCATTTGAGAAATGATTCTTCAGTAAGCTTCCTGAGGCCACCTACCAAGGGGGGCATGGGCCGGGGCGGCAGGGGGTGACCCCTGCCCTGAAGCACACAGCCCTGTGGCTCAATCCCTAGCCAAGGGACCCCAGGGGCGGAAGGGAACCAGGCAGTGTAGGCCTCCAAGCTGGAGGGGAAGGGGCAGTCGGAGGGCGGGCGCCCGGTGCCCTTGAGGGGTGGGCTGCGAGTGGCCCCCAAGTGCTGAGTCAGGGCCCCGTGGGCGCTGCCCGCCCCGCAGCTGGCACCCCAACCTCGGACGATCGGGGTGGGGGGGCGCCGGGGGGGGGCTGCGGGGCGCGCCCGGGGGCCAGGTGCGCAGCTGCGGGCCTCCAGACGTGTCCGCGGGTCCGGGCACAACAAAGCCGAGTTTGGGGGAGGGCGGGGAGGCGCGGGAGGCGCGCGGGGAGCGGGGCGGCCCGGAGCTGCCGGAGCCGCATTGGCCGCCCGCCACCGGGGGGCGGAGCCGGCACGCCTCGGAGCGCAATAAAGGGCCGGCTCGGCCCGCGCCCGCAGCGCACGCATCCATAGAAGGCAGCGGAAGGCTCCGGCGCCGGGTCGCGCGCTCGCCCGCCCGCCCGCCCGCCCCGCCGCCCCCACCCGTCTCCTCGCCGCCGCGCGAACCGCGCCCCGAGCCCCGCGCCCCCCTCCCCGGCCCGCGACAAAGAGCCGGGAAAGTTTGCGCGGGCGAGCGCCGGCCAGGTGCGGAGGGCGCGCCCGCGGAGCGCAGCGAGCCCCGCGCGGCCCCGGCGTGCCCAGAGGCCAGCGCCCGCAGAGCCGGCGGAGGCGGCCGAGCCCCGCGCCCCGCGCCCCGCCCGCCATGGGCTCCGCGGCCCGCAGCCTGCGGCTCGCGCTGGGCCTCCTGCTGCTGGGGACGCTGCTGCGCCGGGCCGACGCCTGCAGCTGCTCCCCGGTGCACCCGCAACAGGCGTTTTGCAATGCAGACGTAGGTAAGGACGGCGCCCCCGCCCCGCCCCGGCCGGCGCCCGCCCCCCCGAGGGTCCGCGGGCGCCCCGCCCGCCCGCGGCTTGCCGAGGGGGCCCACGCCCGCGCCCTGGCCCTCGGGCCTTCTCGAATCCTGCAAGTGGACGCCAGAATCGCACTTTCTTTTTCTCCTTCCGTCTCCCTTTCTTCGCTTCTCTGCCGAGATGCTTCTCAACCTCAAAATTCCACCGAAATTCCGCTGCAGCTCCAGCCCCAGAAAAGGGAGCCAGGGAGCCGATCGGGATTTGGCAGGCGGCGGGCCCTGGGATGCCAGCGCGGGGGGCGGGGAGAGTGGGGGGGCACAGCGTGCGATGGGGGGAGTGCCGGCCCCCGGGGGGCTGGGGGGCTGGGGACCCGCCGGAGAAACTTTCGCAGATGCGATGGAGCTGGCCTTCTGCGGCCTGGGGCTGAGTGGCGATGGACTTCTCTGCCTGGGCCTCTGCCCCCAGCCCCGTTTGGGGGCTCCCCGGATTAAACTGGGGCAGAATGGAAGCCTCCGTCCTCTGGCCAAGCTGCCCTGGGCTCAGAGGGGCAGCGGAGAAAGGCAGGTAGAGCCCCAACGGCGGCTCCTGCTCTGCGCCCTGCCCGGGAGGCGCGGAACACGGGGCCCTCGGACACGCAGGAGGGTCCTTGAGTGGTTTGCACCGCGTGACTGCTTTTCCAGGACATCCACGGAAACTGGGGGCTTTGGGGCAAGTGGGGTTGTGTGGCTGCTTAGAATCCTCAAGAAAATATGTTACCCTCATGACTCCTTGCTGGGCAATGGTGGGAGGGGGCAGGGGAGGGAGGAGGAGCCAGTGGCTTGTTCTGATCCAGTTCTGATCAGCGGAGGGGCTGGGCGAGTGGGGAGAGCCCAGCAGAAGTGGGCGGAGCCAGCTGGGCCCCAGAGGTTTCTTTCCAGGCCTCCAGCTGCCCTGGTGACGGTCAGCCAGGTTTTCCTGGGGCAGGTTCGATTGAGCCAGGACAGATGCCCAGCAGGTGGGCCACTGCAGCCCACAGCCTCCCCCCCCCCAACATCCCCGTCACCCCCCGGGGCTTCTCAGCAGGTTTATGTTCTGCTCCCAAGTCTCCACCAGCCCAGCATCCTGTTGCCGGGCCAAATGTGGCGCCGGCTGCCCTCACCTGTGCGAACGCAGAGCCAAGGTCTCTGGGTTTCCTCTCTTGGCAGCCATGCTCCCCTGATCTCCCCCCCCCAACCTCCGGCTGCTGGCCACACCCCAGTTGGCCCTCTGAGCTGTCACCCAGCCCAGGAAGTCCTCATGGGTTCTTACCTGAGGGCATCGCACGGCTCTGGTCACCTGGGCGTGGAACGTGGTCCGTGCTCACAGCCTCGTTTTCCAGAAAACTGGAGTTGGGGGATGTAAGGTGGGCTCCCCGATTTGGCTTTGGAGCTCATCAGGATTTGAGGGTGATGCACACTGGCCTTCCTCTGGGGGGTGCCCGCTGGGAGTCCCGGCCAGGCCCCTTTGCTAAGATCGAGGCTGTACTTCTGACCATCAGGCTGTGGGGCAGGATGGTCCTAGGGCCCAGAAGGACCTGAGTCTTGTAAGGTGCTTGGGCCCGGGTCGCAGGAGCGAGGCAGGAGGGGGCTGGGCCTGAGGCCGCCTCACACTCTTTGGCTGCTTGGGGAGAATTCCCGACCACGTCCCGGCCCATGAGCTGAGGCAGCAAAGGGTCGGGGTCGAGGGCCTTCTTCGTGGGCCCTCTCTCCTCCGCCTGGGTCTCCTGGGGCATTTGTGTGCAATTCTTCAAATCAAAAGCATTGAAGATCCTAAACTTTTAACCCTTGTCCCAGCTCGGAGGCCGATCGGGGCTCCGACGCCAGACTTGCATGCAACACCCAGTCCGTTAGATTCCTGTGGCCGCTGTACCAAATCACCGAACTGAGGGGGGCTTAAAACAACAGGAACTGCTTCCCTCGTGGTGGAGGGGCCCGGAGCCCCCAGTCAAGGTGTGAGCGGGCAGGATTGGCTCCTTCTGGGGGCGCCGAGGGGGGCATCCGCTCTAGGTCTCTCACCCAGCGTCCGCGGGCTGCCGGGGCTCCTTGGCTTGCGGACGCGTCACTCCATCCTGTTCTTTATTACGTGGGTTCCTCTGTGTGCGTGTCTGTCCAAACCTCTCTCTCATTAGAAAGACCCCAGTCGCCGAGTTTAGGGCCCACGTGAATGCAGCATGACATCATCTTCACGGGGTCCCATCTGCAGAGACACAGGTTCTGGGCAGACCTGAATTTTAGGGGGAAGCTCTTCCTGCCAGGCTGGCCCAGGCGGCCCCTCTGTGTTCGGTCTCCTTGGGATCCAGAGCCGAGGCACCCCAGGGTGGCCGTGGAGCCCACCTCCCGGAGCATGAAGGCCAAGGCCATGGCCCTTCTGTGTCTGCTTCTCCGTTAAGTCCTGCTTGTGTGTATTCCCCACTGTGGCCCAGAACGGAATTGCCTGGGGCTCTTTTCGAGAAGCCTCAAGCCCTGGTCCCTTTGTCTGTGCGGAGAGTCTGGCCTGGACCTCAGCTCTCGTAGTTTGAAAGGCTCCACAGGTGATTCTGTGCCACCACGGCCGGCCGTGAAGGGCCCGTGAAGGGTGTGGCCTCACGCACACTGGGGTTACTGAACGCTGACCTTGAATGTGGTGTGCTGGCTCCTTTAATCGTTGGCTGGATGCAGGCTTGTTAACTGGCCTGGTGTCTGCGAGAGGCAGTTGCCTTGAGAAATCCTCCAATCTGCTGCCTGTGTGAGGACTTCTGGGAGCTTGTGGGGCCGGATCTGTGGCCGGCAAAGGGAGCTCAGGAGGAGGGTGTGAAATTTGGGATGAAGGGAGCGGTAGGTGGGACCTGGGCCCCTCCTGGAAGACCTCGTTCCCCATCCCTTCCAGGAAAGTGAGGACAAATGGGAAAAGTTTGTCAGCTCGGCTCCCGCGTGCGGCTGGCCCGCCTCCTACCACCTAATGGACTCCGTGGCCGCCCACCGCCAGCCTGCCCAGCCCCCAAGACCTGGCCACAGAGCGGCTGTGGGCTTGTTCTTTGGGCCGGTGCCTGGAGTCCTGGGTGCAGCCGGGAGCGCCCCCGGACCCGGCGAGTACAATCTCACTTCTGGCTTGGGTGGCCCTGCCCAAGGCCACGCAGCTCAAGGGGGGTGGCTCCATGGTGGCATCTCAGGGCGTTCCCATCTCCAGACGCTGCTCTCGGCAAACCCTCTGGTGACCGCCGGCAGCGTGCAAAAGGGCCCACTGCCAAGGTCACTTGCTGGTTGCCGGGGCGAGCGGGCCAGACCCTGGCCACCTGCAGGAAACGCACAGGAACGTTCGGAAATGGCTGTGTCTTCACTGGACGCGTGTGCCCGGGAAGAGAAAGGCAGATAAGATTCCTGTGCGGTGAATCAGGCCCCGAGTGCAAGGGGCCGGGTGGGGCTGGCCCTCCTTAAAACTGCCATTGGCGACTCCCTCTGTTGAGTGCCTGCTTCGTGTGTGTGTTGGGTACATCCGTCCATAGCAGGCTGTGTTTCAATAAGCGTCACCGTGTGGCCGGCTCCGCCCCACGGGAGGTAAGAAGAAGCGAGGCGTTATCCCCCCGCCTCGAGGGGACACCAGTGCCGGGCAGTGTGCAAGTGGATTGAAAACTGTGTGTGACCCTGCCGTCCCCGGCCCTGATGGCCAGACTCCGGGTGCTTTGGGCGAATGATAAACCAAGTACCTGTGTGAAAGGGGGACTGCATTTTCAGGACCCAGATGTAGGGATTGGGAAGGGGTGGGGCCCCCGGGCCCAGTCGTGGGCAGTGTCCCTGAAAGGGTGCAATTCTCCCAAGGGAGTCACTGGAGCCCGGGCTGTGGCCGTTCCAGGATCGGGAGACCGAAGGGCAGAGATGTGCCCCCGGCACCGGCATACAGGCTGCGCCCGGGCGTGGCCGATGGGCGGAGGGTGCTCTCCCCACACCGCGGTGCCTGCCTGTGGTCTGAGGACTCCGGGACAGCCTGCAGCCGGGACCCGCTCGGTCCTCGGGGATCTGCGGTCGTGGCCTGTGGCCCGTGAGCTGCAGGGGGGCCGGGTGCCTGCCTCTCTTCTCTGCCGTCTCAGCTGGGTTGCCAGGCAGACCCCCGTGCAGGGTGCACTGTCCAAATCCACTGGCAGCACGTGAGCGCATTGAGAACAAGGATGGGGACCCTTCCCAGGCTTACGGGGCCGGCAAGCAGGGGGGCCACCCTAGGCCAGGGGCGGAGCCACTGATCCGATGCCCGAGGGCCTGCAGGTGTGGGTGAACCCCTCTGATTCCCAGATGGCTGGGCGACTCTGGCAGCCTGGAGGATGGAAGGCACAGCAGGAGGGAGAAAGGCCTGGAAGGGAAGGAAGAAGGGCGCGGTGGGCGGGGCCAGTGCTTCTCGCTCCCTCTCCCTTCCACGCACGAGGGACAGGGGACAGTGGGTCCCGTAACTAGGATGGTCTTCCTGGAAAGAGAAGAGCAGCGCTGAGCAGCCAGGGTTGGAGAGTGTGGACCCTAAATCTGAGGACAGAGCTGGGGGGCCGTGCACCCAGGTGTGGTTAAGGGCATCATCAGTGGTGGCAGCATGGGGTGTGCTGAGCACAGGGACCACCCGCCCAGGGAAGGGCGAGAGAGAGTTCCAGGCGCAGAGCAGGCCAGAGATTGCGTGCAATCTGCCTCCCTGCCCGGGGGCCCAAGGCAGGCCTTTGGGGACGGGCACCTGTGGATGACGGCAGGGGTGGCCCTGGGAATTGGCCAGAAGGTAGAGGTCTGAACTGGTCCTGAATTGGAGGCTCGTGGCTCGGGGCACGGGCAGTGGTATTTCTTATTTATTTATTTAGAGTGTGCACCTGGGGGAGGGGCAGAGAGAGAGGGAGAGAGAGAATCCCAAGCAGGCTCCACGCTGTCAGCACAGAGCTCGATGTAGCTCTTGGTCTCTCGAACTGCGAGATCACAACCTGAGCCGAAATCAAGAGTCAGACACTCAACCGACTGAGC